GAAGTTTGCCTTCGTTTCAGTCTAGAAATTTCTCTGAAGGTCTGTTTTATCCCCCACGGATTCTACAATGGTGCAACAACACAGATGATCACAGTGGGCTTCTGGCAAATGTTCCCGAACCTAGATTGTGTTAGGGAGGGCAGATAAGGCTAAGGAACAAAATCAGCCGCCAACCCCCAGCAATGCCTCACTTATCTGCCATCAGGGTTAGTGGGAGAAAGTGTGGCACACTGGCCAATTTTTCCAGTTAGCTGAGTTTCAGAGCCAGTCTTTTTTTTTTTTTTATTTTAACTAGTTTGCACAGAGGCCTTTCTAAAATGGATTTCACACTTCTCTGACTTCTCAAACTGAGATTAGAACGTAATTAAACTTATCTTGATGACTTGAGGTCATCATTTGGAATCTCAGTTATTAATCTTTGGAGCCAGACTGTCTTGTTCTCATCTCAGCGCCTCTTACTAGCTATATGCCTTCAAGCAAGGGTGTTAACCTCTCTGTGCTTTGGTTTCCTCATCTTTAAAATGGGAATAATAGCCAGGTGTGGTGGTTCACATCTGTAATTCCAGCACTTTTGGAGGCTGAAGTGGGCAGATCGCTTGACCTCAGGAGTTCAAGACCAGCCTGGGCAACATAACAAGACCCTGTCTCTGCAAAAAAATTTAAAAATCTAGCTGGGCATGGGGCATGGTGGCACACATCTGTGGTCCCAGCTTCTCAGGAAGCTAAGGCAGGGGGATCGCTTGAGCCCAGGAGGTTGAGGCTGTGGTGAGCAGAGATCGCACCACTGCACTCCAGCCTGGGTGACAGAGGGAGAGAGAGAGACCCTGTCTGAAAAACAAAAAAGGAATAATAACAGTGCCTCCCTCATAGGGTTGTTGAAAGGATTCAGTGAATTAATACATATAACATTATATCTACCTACTATAGCACGTACTAGGTAGAACCAATTTTTTTTTTTTTTTTACTTTTATTGCAAGTTCAAGGGTATATGTACAGGTTTCTTATGTAGGCTAACTTGTGTTATGGGGGTTTGTTGTGCAGTTTATTCCATCACCCAGGTATTAAGCCTAGTACCCATTAGTTATTTTTCCTGATCCTCTCCTTCCTCCCACCCTCCACCATCCGATGGGCCCCAGTGTGTGTTGCTCCCCTCTGTGTGTCTTTGTGGGTAGACCCATGTGATATTGCCATTTTCATAGGCAAACAACAGCTGATTATGGGCAGTTTCATACGGTTCACCCCAGTATGAGGTGGCACTCTGCAAGTGTTACCTCCTGCTCTGTGTGAGGCACTGTGGACCAGGTTGTGACACAGGCCATCTCTTTTCGCCTTCTCCACAGGCTTACAAGGGGGCGCTATTCTTAGATGGCAGAGCTAGGATTCCAACCAGGTGGCCGTTGGCTCGTTTGTGCTGTTTTGTGTGTGTGTGTGTGTGTGTGTGTTTGTTTTTATTTTATTATTTGAGACAGTCTCCCTCTTGTTGCCCAGGCTGGAGTGTAGTCGCGCGATCTCGGCTCACTGCAACCTCCATCTCCCAGGTTCTAGCGATTCTCCTGCCTCAGCCTCCCGAGTAGCTGGGACTACAGGCATGAGCCACCATGCCTGGCTAATTTTTGTATTTTTAGTAGAGACAGGGTTTTGCCATATCGGCCAGGCTGGTCTCAAACTCCTGAGCTCAAGTGATCCATCCGCCTCGGCCTCCCAAAGTGCTGGGATTACAGGCATGAGCCACCGCACCCCTCGCCCTTTGTGCTGTTTTTCACCATCGGGTGCTAGGCTAAGACAGCAGCCCTCCCAGTGGAGCACTGAATGTCCCTGGAACTTACGGCCTGTCAAGTTCTTTTATTCTTTTCTAATATTTCTCCCCCATTCGTGATCTCACAGGGACTAAGGGGTTCCTAGGAAGCAAAACTAAGTGCTGTTGCCTCTGGGTTTTGTGGCCTCTGTTTTGGTTGTTTCAAGTGTATGCATTTTATAGTCAGCCAGTGCAGGCTGAACAGGTCCTGGGTGGTTTGCCTGTGTTTATTCAGGTAAGATTGTCACTCAGGCGACCTCCAGATTCGTGCGAGGTCACAAACCCTGGGAGGGGCTGGGAAGGCTGGGGGGGATCCTGGCTTTCCTCACTGTCCCCTGAGTGTCAGTGCTCCCCACAAGAGATGGCTGTTTCAATGTTCCCCATGTGGCATCAACTGCTCAGCTTAAAAGGATCGTGGTGGTCATCCCATTCCACACTCCACAGACGAAGAGACTGAGGTTCCGAGAGCTCGGGTGACCTGCTCAAGGCTATGCAGAGCCAGGACTGGAGCTCTGAGCTCTGAGTTCCTTGCTGGGGCCATCGCCGCTGCTCTCCTGGGCAGAATCTGGGCCTCTTGGTGCTTTTCTGATGCCACTGCGGGTCACCTCTGTGGGAAGGAGACAGGGCCAGCTTCACAGGCGCGTGGCCTGTGTAGTCACACGGGGACCTGTGCTTGGTTTCATGCTTTGCTGTCACTATCTTGAATCTCCTGATTGTTTTTGGAGGGCCCCTCATTTTCCCTTTGCACCAGGCCCCCCAATTTATATAGCCAGCGAGTCGCCCATCAAGTCCTGGGCCACGTTCCTTTCCCAGGCCATGGATGGGGCTCTCTAGGGGGGCATTTAAAGTGCTCCTTCCATCCAGCATGGGACGGGATTCGAATTTTCTCCTGAGGAGGGTGTGCCTGCCCTGCTGCTTTAGAAGCCTAGAGATTTTTCTGGAGGGTTAAGAGTGAAAACTCTGAAATCTGACTGTCTGAGTTACGCACTCTAGGACTTTGGGTATATGATTTAACCTCTAAAACCCTCAGTTTCTTCATCTGTAAAATAGGGAAACAAGAGTTATTTTGTATGGTTGTATAAAGTACGAAGGCTTAACACAGGTCCTAGCATCTAGTCAAGTGCTCAGTAAGGCAGCTGTTCTTTTATTCCAGGCCTGAGGTCCTAGATTTCTCTGGAGGCTCAGGGATTCTTGGAGCTTCTAGGGCCTTGGAAGCCCCCAGTCCAGCTTCCTTCTCCCTGTCTGGTGGGCAATGATGACAGGCATAATACAAGCCATCATTACCTGGGCATCTCCTTGGGCAGGTCATTCTGTCTCCAGCACCACCCGTCCTTACAGCCTCTTCCCCATCCCAGGGTAACGGGAATGCAGCCCCTCCCTGCCCACACAAGTCCAGAGTCTGAAGAAATCAGCGGATTCTAAAGAAAGCAGAGAAGTGGTGGAATGTAATTTGTTCTCTCTCAGCGGGGCAGAGTGGCATACTGGAAGAGGCATGACTTTGAAATTCGTTTATTTATGTGTAAATTTTCTGCTTTACCAGTTACCAGCTGGTGATCTCGGGCAAGTCACCTAACTTCTCCAACCTCCAGCTTCCTCATTTGTGAAAAGTAACAAAGGATTATTTTGAGGACTAAATATGATAAGGGGTATAAAGTGCTGAGCTCAGTGACTGTCCTACACAGACGGCATCTAATAAATGTTGAATGAGTGAGTGAGTGAATGAATGAAGGGAGGCTGTGTTTGTTGTCATCAGATGTCCCCGAGGGAAGGCATGTGAGGTGTTGGAGGTGGGAGTGGGGCAGGGACAGAGGCCACACACACTGTGACTGGGTGGGGGAACAGGTGTTCAAATAATAATAGCTCACACGCACACAGCGCTGTACTCCTAGGAACTCATTTTATCCTCATGAGCCTATGAGAAAGGCACTGCCATTACCCCCATTTTACAGATAGGGAAACTGAGCACAGAGAGGGTGAATAACTTGCCTTAAGTCATGCAGCTAAGGAGGGATGGGACTGGGACTGAAGCAGGCAGCCTGGCTCCGGCAGCCATATTCCTAACCACCGTAGCCACCGCTCAGTCTTGTCACTGAGAACTTCGACCTCATGGGAGCTACGTCTTCTTCTCTGCCACTGTTTTGGTCCTCACTGGGCTATTGGTCAGCCTTCTCAAGATGCTCCCCCTCATTAAGAGGAAGGGGGATGTGTGAGGGAACAGAGTGACCCCAAGAGCAGGGCAAGTCCTGGCATCTGGACACCAGAGCCCTGAGCTTAGCCGGTTCGAAGCCAATTTGTCAGGATGCAGAGTTTTCAAATTGCAGAGGCCACATGGGAGGGGTGAAGGGGACGACGGGGACATCTCTTCCCAATGCCCCATTGGCCCCAGCAAGCTGAGGGGCTGAGGGGTCCGGAGATCCGCACCAGAGCCCGGACACCTTCTGTGCGTGTTGGGTCAGCTGGGGCAGGGGGCAGGGCTGGGGACTCAGCTGGTGGGCTCTGCTTGGTGAACTTGGGGAAGCCCCTCCCTGCTCTGAGCCTTTGGCTTCTTAGCTGTGAAACGGGGCCACAGACCCCACTGTATCTACCTGAGAGCACTGGGTGAGCCTCCTATGAGCTGGTGGGTGTGAAAGTGATGCTGAAACTCGAGCTTCCTCCAGGAACCACATATAGGTGTGAGGCGGTGAGGCAATGTGGCCAGAGAGAGGGCTTTGGGGCTTGCAGATCAAGCTCAGACTGGCCTTGGGTTTGCTCTGTCACCTTTCCAAGCCACTCAGTGAAAGTGTCATGAAACCGTGTGTGTTCACATCTATCAAGGGGTTGCCACGTGCCTCACTCTGCCAAGTACGTCACACCCTTGATCTCATTTAGTCCTCATGACAACCCCGCAAGATGTGTGCTATCATCAGCCCCATGTTTCAGAGGGAAAACTGAGGCTCCAAGAGGTCACCTACCTTGCCCTAGTTCACACAGAGAACGTGGCAGAGCTAGGATTCAAACTGAGGCAGCTGTGGACTCCACATGCTTCCCCACCCAAGTGGTCTGCTAGGCCTGCTGGGGGGCTGTCTGAGGATGGAATAAGGGCCTGGCACTTAGTCAGTGCATTCCAACCAGGGCTGGTGCCTGGACTCCTCATGCTTGCCAGGGTCCGGGAGCTGTGCTTCCACCTTCTCCTGCCTCACACCCTGTTCTCCCTCCCTCCCACCAGGATGTCGCCACCATGCAGTTCTGTGCCAACAAGCTGGACAAGAAAGATTTCTTTGGGAAATCTGACCCCTTCTTGGTATTCTACAGAAGCAATGAGGATGGAACGTGAGTTTTCTGGTGGCACTTGTGCACTGTGCCTTCTTGTCCCTTCTGGAGTCAAGGATGGACGGGTGGCGGTGACTTACCGGGCAGGGTGGCTTGGGCTCATCTCCTGCTCTAGAGAGGGCAAGGGCTCCAGGTGGAAGTCCAGGACCCCAGGGTAGTGCCCTGGGCACCTAGGTGTGGTCAGTGGGAGGTCGGGGCAGCCTCTAAGCTGGCGGTGCCATTCTGTAGGTCTCAGCGTAGTACTGAGTGGTGGGGGCTAGGTATTTGGAGGGTGGGGGGACTAGGCAAAAACAGGGCTAAGGCAGGAATAGGGGGCCAGTCCCTCATGGGAAACCTCTGATAGCTCCTTCATTCTACACAAATCAGCTCCTATCTCCAAGCCCAGCCCCCTGTCCCCACAGCCCTCTGAGCAGCCCCCAGCCTGGCCCCCCACTACTGCCCACACAACAGGGCCAGTCTGGACCCTTTCCCCTGCCTGGCCCCACACAGGCTTCGTTTGAAACTCCAGACTTTGAAGCCCCTGTTTCCTCCTCTCTTCTCCCTAATCTAGAAGCCACCCACAATAAGATGGAAGCGTACACAACATGTTGGCAAATGTAGGTCAGCAATATATGCCGGGAGACAGATTCTGGGTGGAAGGTCTGGGGACCTAGGTCCTCCCCAGCAGCCTGTTGTGTGACCCTAGGCAAGTGAAGACCCCTCTCTGGGCCTGTTTTCTCATCCAGTTGGATTACGTGGTCGCCACGGTCTCTTTAAGCACCACAATTCTGGCAGGCTGTGGCCACTTACAGGCTGGATTCTGCAGAATGAGGAAGCGATGGGGCCAGGGAGGTTAATTAGAGAAGCGCTGCTGGAGAAGGGAAACTTGGAAGCGGGTTTTGAAGGAGAGGAAGAAAATGGGTCCCCGCCTTGGGGGTGGGGGGAGCAGGGAAGAATAAAGGGCTAGAGAAGGGAGAAACGTTTGGGCAAAGCAAGTGTGCCCGGAGGGCAGAAAGACCTTCCCCCCAATTCCCCTTGAAATTTTGTGTGTGTGTGTGTGTGTGTGTCTGTGTGTGTGTGTGGTGGGGGGGCAGGGGAGTGGCGAGGAGGAGGTGTGTTTCAGTTCAAGGGAAAACTGATTTAAAAATCAGTTTTCCTGAACGTACAAAACAAGGGAAATTAGGTATGATCATTTGCATGACAAAAGGATTCTTTGTCTCACCAAAGGACTCCCAGAAGGATTTCTTTAAATAATTCTGTTGACTTTGACTTGACTTGATTGGGGGAGGAAAAGGCCTGCATATTGTTCTGGGCATCCACACAGGTCCCCTCCAGAGAGGCAGAGCCAGGGTCAAGCTGGGCTTGTCTGGCTGAGGCCGGCTGGGAGGAGGAGAGGGATTTGGGAGCAGGAGAGGGGTGCACTGCAAGGGGTGTTTGGGAAAGATTGCTCTAGCAGAGTGATGTGTAGGATGGGTGGGGAGGGTGCGGGGAAAGGGAGAGCCTTGTGACTGACACGGTGAACAGGTGGGAGGTGCTACCAGCTCCCACCCTGGATCTGTGCCGTGGAAATGCAGGGGAAGGAAGTGGGGAGGGGAGGAAGGGGGCAAAAGGACAATGAGGGGACCTCAGTCGGCCGGACTTGGATGGGGACCGAAGTCAGAGCTCTCTCCCTGGCAGTGGAGCCAAGGGAACCCAGAGTGCTTGCAGAGCAGCCAGGGAGCTGGTGGATCAGACCGGGGAGGTCGTGGGAGTTTATTTGGGGCAAGTTTCATTCCAAGTGTGAACTGGAGCATTCCGGGGGCAAGGAGACACTGATCCCTCACGGGGATCCCGTGGGGCACTGAAGAAACTGATCCAGAGGCCCGCCTAGAGGTGGGCCAGTATCCGGCCCCTGTGAAAAGGTAATGGCTGCGCTGGTGAGAACAGAGTGGTCACTGAGGGTCTGCGGGGAGAAGACTGGAAGGCCTGCAGAGACACCCCCAGTTAGGAAGAAGGTCAGTGAGGGAGCCATGAGAGGGAAGTGTCACACTAGCCACAGGAGGAGGCAGAAGGCAAGGGGGCACCTGCTGTGCCCCTGAAGCTGCACTTAGAACACCTGGTCAAGCTTGGCTCTCAAGTGAGAGGAGGGAAAGGGAGAAGTCAGTGGTTCCAGAGGTGGGAGGCTCCAGAGGGCCCACAGGGGTCTGTGTGATGGTCGGGGGGTAGTATTTGGAGCCCAGCAGGGCTTCTGCACAGTATCATCCTCTCTCCCTCCAGGACCACCCATTCCCTACTCCTTGTTGTCCTTCCAGCTCTCCTCCCCCCACTGCCCCAGGCTCCTCTTCCTGCCTCACCTGCCTGCCCCAGCCCTGGGCAGCTGTGGCCCCTCCTGCTCCCATCTCCATTCCCATCCTCGCCACCAGCTCTGGGGTGTGTGGGGAGGTCTCCCACATGCATCTCCACACTCCAGTGGGTGGGCGAGAAGGAGCAGAGAAGAGAAATGCTAAGCCATGGTGACAGAATGACATTTTGACTTGAAAATTGCCAGAGAAGAAATGACACCGGCTGTGTGGGTATGGGCGGAGCCCAGGCACTTATTCAGCTGACCTTTCCAACCAGGGATGTAGCTGGGGCTGGTGGTGGGAGATCTCAGAGAGACGCCCCTGCCCCTGGCTCAGCCCTGGCAGTGGCTGCCCATCCATGTGGCAGGGCTGGCTTCCAGGATGGGGCCAGCCAAGCATGGCGTGGGGCGTGGGGCGTGGGGCGTGGGCAGGGACACCAGATTAGGGCCCATCTGGGATAAGTCAATTCTGTACTTTTAGTTTGCAAAGCAGGTTCATGGATTCAGACGGGAAAAGCAGAAAGGGTCTTAGAGCTCATCTAAGTCAGGGGCTTTAATTTCATTGGACTGACATACCAGTGAAAGCTATGGAAACTCGCCCCCAGAAATGCATTGATTCATTTGTAAAGAATTATTGAATACCTACGAAGTGCCAGGCACTGTTCTAGGCACTAGGGATGTGCCAGTGATCAAAAAAGACAAAAATCCTTGCTCTTATGGAGCTTACATTTTAGTGACGGATCATGAGCAGAATAAATAAGGAAAAAATAGACTATATCAAAATGTCAAATGGTGACAAATGAAATAGGAAAAAAAAAGTCTGGGAGGAGTCTAGGGGATGTGACAGGCAGGAGACCAGGCAGCTGTCAATTTTAGATATGGTAGTCAGGGAAGGTTTCGTGGAGATGGTGTTTGAAGGTAGTGAGGAGTGAGTCATAAAGATGGAAATGGGGGAGAGAATATTCCAGGCCAGGGGAGCAGCAGGCACAAACAACCCATACACCTAATTTCTCCCAGTGTTTCCGGGATTCACAGACCCCTAAAATTCATCTGCTCATCCTTCTGTGGATTGCAGATGAAGAATCTTTGATAGAAGGTAACTGCCTGGGTTTACAGGTGAGGAGCTGGAGGCCCAGAGAGGGGAGAGCTTGCTCAAGGTCACACAGTGAGGTGGCCCCAGAGTAGGGGCTAGAACCCAGGGCTCCTGACACCCTGGGATTTGTCCCCACCTCCAGGTCCTTACCTGGTACAGGAACCCTTTCTGCAGCATCAGCAGCAGATGGCCAACTAGTATCAGCTTGGCTGCTGTTGGTGACGGGCAGCTCATCACCTTTTGAAGCCATCATTTCCATCGTCTGGGAACCAGAGATGTGAACCAGTTGACTGCTCTGTTGACCTGCATTCACCTCCCTTGGTTTGGGCCTGACAGCCTTCCCTCTCTTCTTCCTCACCAGGTTCACCATTTGCCACAAAACGGAGGTCATGAAGAACACCCTAAATCCCGTCTGGCAAACTTTCTCCATTCCCGTGAGAGCCCTCTGCAACGGCGACTATGATCGGTGAGATGAGAAAATGTCCCTGCTTTTTCCCTTCTGCTCTGGGCCCGCCCCAAGCACAAGTGAGGGAGGCCGCGTTCATATCAACATGGTCAGTCCCGTCAGCAGGAACCAGGCCTTCTGGAGCTGTGCAGTGGGGGATGCCCTGCACAGGCTGGGGCTTGGTGAGCCTCTCCACTCTTCCCCTGCTGCACCCGGCAATGTCTGCCTCTTCACAGCCTCACAGATCCTCCTCTCCCCACCCGCCCCACCTCTTTCCCCTCTGTCTGGCATCCCCACTGGTGGGAAACTCCCAAGGCTAGGGGGATGGGAAGTGCCAATGATTCCAGGGAAACCCAGATGGGTGCCCCGGGTGCCCAGGCCTGGAGCTCAGCAGCTTGTCTTTTCATTGTTCCCAGTGGAGGAGCAGATGGCAGCAGGGAAGCAGGGTGTTGATGCAGGCAGAGGCAGCTGGTCCCAACTCCTGGCCAACAGACTGGGGAGTCAAGATCCCAGGGATACATCCTGCCAGCCTAATTGCCATAAACAAACGGGGTAGGGGTGGAATGCAAAGAGCTCCTGGGATTTCTTTCTCTTTTTTGGACAGGGTCTCGCTCAGTCACCCAGGCTGCAGTGCAGTGGCAGTGGCGCCATCACAGCCCACTGCAGCCTGGACCTCCCAGGCTCAAGCGATCCTCTCATCTCCGCCTCCTGAATATAGATGGGACTACAGGCACCTACCACCAAGCCCAGCAATTTTTTTTTTCCAGTGCAGACTAGTTTCACCATGTTGTCCAAGCTGATCTCAAACTCCTGAGCTCAAGCAGTGCACCCGCCTCTGCCTCCCAAAGTGCTGGGATTACAGGTGTGAGCCACCATGCCTGGCAGATTTTTTTTGTTTTTTAATTGAGATGGGATCTCACTCTTTCACCCAGGCTGGAGTGCAGTGGCACAATTTCAGCTCACTGCAGCCTCCGCCTCCTGGGCTTAAGCAATCCTCCCGCCTCAGTCTCCCAAGTAGCTGGTACCACAACCATGCACCACCACGCCCAGCTAATTTTTTGTGTTTTTGGTGGAGATGGAGTTTCGCCATGTTGCCCAGGCTAGATTTTTTGTTTTAACATATGCCTACTCTTATTACATGTTGGCTATCATCTTCATCACCATTTAAGCGTAGATTGTGGAGTGTGGATACCATATACCTGGTTGCTAATCCTGACTCTGTGACCAAAAAGCGCCGTCAACTTGGGCAATCCTTGACCTGTCTGAGCCTGAGCTTTCTTATCTGTAAAATGGGTATTTAAATGTCTGTCTACTATACAGGACTGCACTGACGCTCACACGACACAACCTACACAACGAGGCTCTGGTGTGCCTAAAACACCAAATTTAGCGTCTCATCCACAGATGTTTAGGGAACCCCTGTCATGTACCAGGCACTGTGCTAGATGCTGGGAAATCAGCAGGGAACAAATGTGCAGTCTCCACCCTTCACCCAACCTCGTGGAGTTTACATGCCAGTAGGGGAGGCAGACGTTAATCCAATAATCACATAAGGAAACATGTAATTATACGTTGTAGCAAGTGCCCGGAGACAGTGGGGCCACCCAAAATGGGAGCTGTGAGACTGTGTTGGTTTCTGTTGAGTCACGAGAACCCATGCCCGTCTCCTGGTGATTGCCGCAGCTCAGGTGGGTGAGCTGGTAGGGGGCTCAAGGGCAGGGCTCTCTGGACAGCCAAGAAAGCTGGGCCTCTTCAGGTCACTCCGACAGGAACACTAGGGTGTCGAAACAGACACCTCAGGTCAGGTGTGGTGGCTCACACCTGTAATCCCAACACTCTGGGAGGCTGAGATGGGCTTGAATCCAGGAGTTCAAGACAAGCCTGGGTAACATAGCAAGACACCCATCTCTACAAAAAAAATTTTTTTTAATTTAAAACTAAATTTTAAAAAATTAAAACATTACAAAAAATTATCTGGGCGTCGTGGCGCACATCTGTGGACCCAGCTACTCAGGTGGCTGAGGTGAAAGGATCATTTGAGCCCAGGAGTTCAAGGCTGCAGTGAGCTATGATTGCACCACCACGCTCCAGCCTGATGTCTCCAGAAAAAAAAGAAAGAAAGAAAGAAAGAAAACCTTAAAAACAAAAAAAGAGAACAAACAAGCAAACAAAAACACAGGTACCCGGGGGCAGCTGGGAGCCTGACAAGGCGTGTTAAGGGGATGATGGGCAGATGAATGGCCTCTAGGCACCCCTGTTGCCCTCTGAAGAAACCCCCAGGCTGCCAGTTTGAGACATGAGCTTGCTCTTTTCCCTGCCTCTTGGCTGGGACAGAAATGCCACAATCTGTTCCACAGGTGGTCATTGAGTGCCTCCTGTGTCCCAGCGTGGCGCCTCTAGCTGTGCGGCATTTAAGCGAACGGAGTCGCATTCCCATCTTTAAGGAGCCTGTGGTCTGACCACAGGGAGCACAGATGTGCACATGTATTTTAGACAGATAAATAAGTGCACAAAATAAGACTGGGAACAAAGACTGTCTTAGCGCTGCAGTCAAACAAGCCTCTGTTACACGTCTAGCTGGCTCCTGGGGCTTCTAGAGTGGGTGAGGGGATGGGAGGACAGGCTGGTTGGAGCAGTGAGTTCTAAAGAAGGCCCAGGAAAGGCTGGAAAGTCAGGGGAGGGGGATCCTGGGGACAGGGGCATGGGAATAAAGGGAGATGGAAACAAAGTGAGAGGAAATTCAAGGTAGGGGGATGGGAGAGTGGGCCAGTTAAAGTCTCACAGGGCAGAAGGAATTGGGGATCCCTGGCACAACTGCCCTGAGGTTGCTGGGGGCCCAACTGACCCCCCACAACCCTGTATCTCTAGGGAGGAGCTCCCAGGGTTGCAAAAGCCAGCTTTGTCAGGGACAGTGAAGGGGGCAGCATGGCTCAGAGGGCTGGCTTCACCACTGGGCCACTGGAGGAGGTGGGTATTTATTTGGTGGGAGGGGCAGGCTCCCACCTCCCGCTCTGAGTCAGAACCTAGCCCCACCTCCCTGCAGGATGGCTCTCCCCCATGTCCAGAAACAGATCTGCCATGACGTGACAGACAGTAGTGTTAATCAAGGAGGCCAGGCATGTCACTCTGGCTCTGAGAGCGATCAGGCCTGTCCCCCCACCCCCCAGCCCTAGTGTAACCCTGTAACCCACGCACCCAACAGCCACTCAGGAGGTGCCAGCATCAGAAGGCCCTCCAGGGTGGGCAGGGGAGGGCCCTGTGCAGGAAAATGAGGCCACCGTCCCCTCCTTCCAAGGCACCTCTGGGAGCCTCACAGAACCATAGTTGATTTTACCCAACAACCATGTCTTCCAAGCCAGTCAGGCCCCAGGCACTGTGTTGGGTGCTGTGGGGGCCTATTGAGCTATTGGACCCAAGCCTCGCTCTTAGGTTGCTCCCAGGCCAGTGGGGAGACAGACAGGTCATAATAATAGCGAAGACTCCTATAGCACTTAACCATGGGCCAGGCCCTGCTCTAAGTGCTATGTATAGGAACTAATTTAATCCTCCCAACAATTAGCTCGTTGGAAAAAGGTGCTGGTGCTATCCACACTTTACAGGTAAGGAGACAGACAGGCCCTGAGAGATTAAGTAACTTACCCAGTGTCTTGCTGCCAGATGATGGTAGAACCAGGATTTGGACCCCGGCAGGCTGGCTCTAGGTTCTGTGTTGTTAATCCCTATGCTCTGTTGCCAAATAGCCAAGACATGGCATGACAGAGCTGTGACCAGGGTACATCTGGGGGAGGCTTACTAATGAGCACCTTGCTCAGGGGTTAAGGACAGTTCTGCTTTCTGATTAGAGGTAGGGAAGCTGCTTGGATTGGTTTTAGTCCTGAAAGCATTAACGTCCTTCTGGCTTTAATACCAAATAATTCAGAGGGGAGAGGAGAGGGGAACAGCAACAAGAAAGAAGAAGACCCAAAAGGCCTTGATACCTGCCTGGGTAAGGGAGTGAAAGAGGGGAAGGGATAATGGTTCAGCGTTCGAGGGCAGGAAAAGGCGGCACCACCAACAGAAATGGGCAGTGTGATCGGGAGCCAGATTCTCACACACACAGATTTGTGTTATGTAGTTCTTTTCACAGCCTATCTGCAACCCATTTTTAAAAAAATTACCCGTCATAAGTTATAAAGATTATGTTTGTTGTTTGAACACAAGCTGCTGCTGTTGAGAGGTTGGGGAAAGAGAGGTAAACATGGTTTCAGCCACATTGAGAGGAGGCAGCTGTGGACCAGGCACAGCTAAAGCAGGAGGGGACAACAGTCTGGGGGTTCCCAGGAGGGGGGTGGCCAGAGATCTGGTGCCCTGGGAGACACTGGGGGGGGGGGTACCAGAGGCCAGGAGCAAGAAAGAAGAGGAGATGGTCAGAGGGATAGCAGGAAACTAAGAGGAGGGCGGCACGGTCGGGGAGCATCCCTTCCTATTGTGAGAAGAGGTACAGGAGGATGAGAACCGGGCCTGATGAGAAAGGTCAGTGTTCTTGGAACGATGGGTGTAGAAGCCAGGTAATATGATTACAGTTACTGAGGACTTAGGACATGGACCAAGTTGTATTCTAATTGGTTTAAATGCATTATCTTATTTTGCTAATTTAAATTTTACAATAACCCTAGGAGCCACGTACTAGTGCTGTGCCCATTTTACAAGGGAAATAGAGGAGAAGATATTATATAACCTGCCAGAGTAAGGAGAAGCTGCATTTCCCTCCTGTTGAAATTGCCTCTGGCCTGGAGTCTCCCTGCCTTTGCCATGTGTCCAGTCCACACAAGGCCAAACCTGAGTGACCCAGCTGAGCAGAGCTGAAGTCACAGGAAGTGGCATCAGGGTCAGAGACAATCCAGCCTTCCAGTGGGGTAAAGTGGGGTGATGACAAAAAGCACTTCCCCTGCCTTCCTGGAATTTGCCCTACTCTCTTAATCGTTCTGTGACTTGAGGATTTGTCCCTGTGAAACCGCAGTTGTCTGGGTCAGGCTGCTCACACCTTGATGCTGAATGAGTAGATTTTAAAAGGGTGTTAAGTGTGTGGAGTCCTCACCTGGAGAGAGGAAAGGAGTCACCACAGCTTCGCACTTCTGCCTGGCACCCTTGACGTATGACTTGCTTCTCTTTTGCATCCGGCCACAGATGAGCTTCCAGGAGGGCCAGGCACCCTATCAGGCACCTCCACTGATGGCCTCGATGAAGGGTGTCTTATCATTCTCGGTTTTCACACGCAGAAGCTGAGGCTCAGACGGGAGGTACAGTCACGGCAGCACTGCCCAGTGTTGCACGGTGCAAGCTGGGGGCCGAGATGGTTGCCAGTCTCACTGCCTGCCCCAGGCGAGGCCCTGATGCTCCTCTTCCTGAAGAGTTGAGTGTTAGACTGACTCAGGTCCATTTAAGGCAAAACCCCTCAGGGTCTGTCAGCTCTCGGGACTTGTAAGCCTGCAGGGAAACCTTCCCCCTGCCAGGCAGAGGCTCATTAGGAGGCAGACCTTACCGCTCGGCTGGGAGGGAACTAGAGAGAGAGCTGGTTGGTGTGCAGTGGGGGGCAGCCTGGCGTTTTGGCTGGTGTCTCTCATCCCTGCTGACTTGACCAGGCTCACACATCTGGCTCTGTCATTGCGGCCGTAGGTGTCCAGAGGCCCAGGTCACTGACTCCTGGCATCACCACTGACCAGCTGTGTGACTCAGGGAAAGCCACATACTCTTGGCCTCCTTTTGTGATTTTGTAGAATGAAGGTATTATTACCTTCACAGTCCATTTCATAAAGTTATTAGGAGCTCTCAATCAACCAACAAATATGTATACAGCACCTGATATAGGCTAGGCACGGTTCTAGAAGCTGAAGATACAGCAGTAAACAAACAAACAAAAATCCCTGGTCTCATGGAGCTGATATTTTCAAGAAGCATGGGAATTGTTTGGGAGGCAGGAACTTGGATAAAGGGATGGAGTGTTGTAGACAGGAATAGAGCAACATGTGTCCAGTGCTGACTGTATGTGGAGATACTTCACTTGCACAGCAGCTCCAAAGTGGGTGTGACTTTTCTCGATTTGGAAAGGAGGGGAGTGTCTGAGGGTTAAGCCAGTGGCTCAGGGCAATAGACCTAGTACTTGGAAGAGCTGGGACTGCCAGCCAGGGCTGCTCACCCCGGAGCCGAAGGTCTTTTCTGCCCACCTTGCCACCTCCTAGGTTAGGCCTCAGTTCTAAGCCTTTTTATGCCAGATAAGGTGTTCATTGGGTGATCTGCAGAAGCTCATTTCATTTTCCCACACCCAACAAGCCTGTTATTTTGGGTGCTGGCCCCAGAAGTCACGGTCAGCCAGACTGCAGCTTTTGTTGGCCCTGTGCTAAGGGTTTGGGAGCCAAGTCCAGCAGGTGACAAGTAGCATCTGCAATGACTTCAGGCAGCCCAGCCAGGGTGAACGGCCACAGAACTGTGAATATGGCTGGGCACGCTGGTTCACGCCTGTAATCCCAGCATTTTGGGAGGCCAAGGTGGGCGGATCACTTGAGGTCAGGAGTTTGAGACCAACCTGGCCACCATGGTGAAACCCCATCTCTACTAAAAATATACAAATTAGCTGGATGTGATGGCATGTGCCTGTAATCCCAGCTACTCAGGAGGCTGAGGCAGGAGAATTGCTTGAAGCCAGGAGGCAGAGGTTGCAGTGAGCTGAGATTGTACCACTGCACCCCAGCTTGGGTGACTGAGTGAGACTCTGTCAAAAAAAAAAAAAAAAAAAAAAAAAAAAACTGTGAATAGAGTAGTGAAAGCCTTATTTGCCTTCTCCCCATGGCCTTCCCCTGTCTCTGGGCACTATTTCTCTCACCTCCTTCTCTCCCAAGGCTGGAGTTGCAGCCTTTGAGCTAATCTGACCTCCAGGCTGCAGCCATCCCTGGAGCCTTAATGGAGGCCAGGCCGAGTTTGCACAGGAATCTCACACTCAGTGCTCTCAACCTGGGTTGCAAGTTCAAATCCCCTGGGGAACTTTTAACAATTCCCATGCCCAGGTTGTACTCCAGACCAATTGATCATGACCAATTGATGCCCAGGTTGTACTCCAGACCAATTGATCTCTCAGGTAAGACATTGGTGTCAGTATTTCTAAAGCTGACACCAATGTGTCATCTTGGGGGATTTCAATGTGGAATCCTGGGGGGATTCCAAAGTGCAACCAAGTTTGAAAACCAGTGCAGTCTTCTAGAGAAGGTCAGTGGCTCTGGCTGCAGGCTAGAATCCATCACAGAACTTTTCAAAACTACCCGGGCCTGAGTCCCATCCACACCAATTAAATCAGGCCATCTGGCCTGGGATTAAAAGTTTCCCCAGTGATTTTGTGGATATCCAGGACTGTCACCACGACTGGGGTCCTCCTCCAGCCTCTGAGCATGTGGCCATCACCCATCTAGTCACCTGATGTTGGTGGTCAGAGGAGAGCTATTCTTTGCTGGGGTCTCTGAAGGTCCCCTGCAGAGCTTAGCAGGCTGGGGAAGGACTGGGAGGCCACTAGGCAGGGGTAGAGAGATTTCAGCCTTGTGGGGCCATGACCGAAGTCCTGGACTGGGAGTCAGGGACTTGCTCTTCTTCTGGCTCAGACCCTCAGCTGGGTGACTCTGGGCAAGTCACTGGAGGCTCTTAGGGCTCAATTTTCCCATCTGCCAGTGGAGTGGAGGCCATCACTCCAGAACACACACAGCACAGTCACTAGGGAAGCCTTGCAAGCGGATTCCTGAGTCTTGCCCAGAGCTGGGCCTGGGAGTCTGTGTCTGAAAAGCTGCCACTGATTTGGCCAGGCAGTCAGGCTTGAATCAAGAGTTGCAAAGCCCAAGTACCTGGGCTCAAGTGTCCCCTGATTTAAGTAAATTTCATATGTAAGACTATCAGAGGCCAGGCACCGTGGCTCATGCCTGTAATCCCAGTAGTTTGGGAGGCCGAGATGGTTGGATCACTTAAGGTCAGGAGTTTGAGACCAGTGTGGCCAACATGGTGAAACCCCGTCTCTACTAAAGATACAAAAAATTAGCTGGGCATGGTGGCACATGCCTGTAATCCTAGCTATTCGGGAGGCTGAGGCAGGAGAATCACTTGAATCCGGGAGGTGGAGGTTGCAATGAGCTGAGATTGCGCCACTGCACTCCAGCCTGGGCAACAGAGCAAGACTCCATCTCAAAAAACAGAAACAAACCAAACCAAAAATCCTATCAGAGAGCAGCCAAATGATGAAGTGGAGGGAAGGCGGCGTTTTTGTAGAGGCCCTCCCATGCGCAGGCAGGCTTTACTGCTTGTTCTTGAGCTGTTCTGCAAGGCCCTTATTACTTCTCCTTTCAATGGTGGTTTATGGCTCAAGGAGGTTAAGTGACATTTCAGGTTCCATAGTGAGGGGCCCAGGTCCAAGCCTAGGGCTGTCGTGGTCTTTCCACTCTTTCCAGCTCATCAGCCCACCTTCAGGGGCTTAGGTGATTTTTTTCCCTTTCCACAATAATTCATCTCAAAGAGACATGGTTTTTTGTTTTTCACAAGAATTTAAAGGATTCCTTTAAATGGTGGGCTTCTAGGCCTGCCCCATTGTACAGGAGTCCAGTGCACAACCTATCGGGCATTCCTTGGTTCAGAACAGTTTCTGCCCTGCTGCGGTGGATCTGTCCCCTACCCCCAGTCCTGAGGAGGCTCATCTGAAAGGAGACAGCGCCTCCTCCTGGGGGGGCCCCAGAAGCCCAAGGCTGACTCCTGGCAGGCCCGAGGAGATGGGCGAGATGATGGGATGTTAACAGAGACAGGCCCAGGGAGCTGCCTCTGTGCACCCCACTAAAAACTGGAGGCTGAAGACCCCAGCTCCCCAGGCCCTTCCCACCTCCCCAAACCTGACCGTGCTGTGGGACCCTTGCAGCTCCCCTGTCCCTGGGCATCCCTGGAGGACCGAGCAGCTGGCGCCAAGGGTTAACTGCAACCCTCCACCTCCCTCCTCCCAGCTCTGGTCCGCTAGCCTGTTGCCATGGGAACGTGGCTAAAAATAAAATGGGCTCTCAAAGCCCATCCGCATGCATAGGAGTCAAAACAAACTAATTAAAGCAGCCAGGCTAAAATATGAAGATAATTACACCCTCACTCAGGAGCCAGTCGTGGGGATGGAAAAGCTCAGCGGGCCATCCCCGAGCCAGGGCCCTGGGCTCCTCCCTGATGTGCAGGGCTGGCTCCCACACCCAAAGCCCTCAGATCGTTAACAAGCAGTCTTGTCCCCCTCCCCTCTACCCTGCCGGAGCCTGAGATCCGGGGAGCACCACACTCCCACTCTCCCGGCTCCTCCACCCCTGGTGAATCCACAGTGCGGCTCCATGCTGGGCTTAGGCCCCTTCTGCAGTGGCCAGGAAGAAGGTGGGGTGAACTGAAGTCTGCAACTGTTTTTCCCACATCCTCCTTGAAATTCTGGGTGGTCCCTACGCAGCCCTGGCTGCCCTGTTCCTAAGGCCTTTCCTAAAAGACCTCAAGGAGATCCTTGTCTCTCAGGCCGCTGCCTCCCCACCCAGGGCCCTGGGGCCTAGAGGGAGTCCTGGCCTCCCCATCTGGTCTGGGAACATGAAGAGGGCCCCATCCTCAGCCACGTGGGTGTGGGGTTGGGCCCATCCCAGCAAAATCCCAGCAAAGGCCTTTGTTTTGCAGGACCATCAAGGTGGAGGTATACGACTGGGATCGGGACGGCAGGTAAGCAGGCAGGAGGGCGAGAAGGTGGTTGGGGATGGGGAGACACTGGGGAGAGGTTTGTGCGCTGCCCTCCCATGGGGAGCTGTGACCAGGCTCCCACCCGCAGCGGCTCTGGGGGTGAGGGAGCCTAGGTGTGTGTGTGTGTGAGGAGTCCTCTGCCACAGTAGCTCCTCCCCCTCCAGCTCCACGGAGCCACCAAAGGACCTCTGTCCTGAAGGATATGGTGTGAGGGGCATAAGAGGCCTCCTTTTCCCCAAATAGCTGCCCAGGGGCCTCCCAGTACCCGCAATCTCCCCACCCATGGCAGAATTTAGGGCTTTCTGAAGAGTGCATGTTCTAGGGCACTAGTGAACCTCGAGCATTCATGGACACATTTTCTGTGTGAGGCCTTGGGCTAAGCATTGTGGGGCGACCGAGACACAGAGGAGCCCAGTCCTCCAAGAGCCCCCCCAACCTGGCAGGGAGGCCAATTGTACCCGTACAGCCCTCGGCTCATCGGAGGAGCTGTTTGCAGAGAGCCAGGACTGAGGGAATGGGCGGTGGGAAGAGTGAGCTAGGAGGCGTGAGTGGACTCATGGGCCGTGGGACAGTGCCTGCGTAGGGCTGTGCCTGGCTGCTGGGAGGGTGCTCCCCACTCGGGGTCATTGGGAGGCCAGTACTGCTGGGAATCCACAGAGGAGGACAAGAGCAGGCCTCTCGAAGTTTCAGTCCAGAAGCCTCCCTCGCTTCTACTTGTCGGTTGAGTCAAATCCAAATATGTCACCCTGACTTTTGTGACATTTCCATTCTGTGGCACTGCCAAGGAGTGACTTAGGAGGTTCAAGGTCCCCCCAGTGTCCTCTGCTACCTCCCAAGTCTGTGATATGGACAGGGGGTTTGTCTCATCTTATGTAAAGTGCTATGCAAATACAGCTCCAGGTGAGACCCAAGCCCCCTTCCAAGGAACTCACCTTTCCCTGAGGCCAACCATCCTGCAAGAAACTCCAGAGCCGCTATGGCCTCCCCTCCTTGCCTCTCAGCTACCTCACAGTCAGCTTCTTGTTTCCACCTGCAATTTGCCTGCTCTTACCCTGGCGTTCCCATACTTCTTTGCCTGGAATAGTCTCCTCTTCTGTGGCAGTTGGGGCCAGCCACCAGATGCCACTGGGTCCCACCATGAAGTTGCTCACAGTCAGAATGCTGAGAGCTGTAAATATGTAGACACAATACAGTGTAGGCTCATGGGGGAGGGGCGGGGCCCCAGAGACACGTCTTGGGCATCAGTCTCCGGCTGGATGCCTGAGGCCAGCATGTTGACCACGGCCCTCTGGCAGTGACCGGGAAAGCTAAAGGAGCCAACCCTGGGGTCAGTGGGAGTTCTGCCGTGTACAAGTCTTGGCCGTGCTTGATGTAAGCGCTCCAGAGGTGTGGGCACTGCAGAAAACACTTCTAGACACCCAGCTGGACATCGCTCTATTGTGTTTTAAAAATAATCTTATTAGAGAAGGGTTTAATGAACACCTTTAAGCCCATCACCTGAATTTAACATTTGTTCAATTTTATTGTATTTGCTTCATCTATGTTTTGCTAATGTAGCTTAAATTATAGACATCATGGCATTTTACCTTTAAATACTTCATTGAAAATGTCTAAAAAATAAGGGCATTTTCCCACTTACTCACAAATGCCATTATCATACTTGACACATTGAACAATATTCTTTCTTTTCTGAGATGGAGTCTCGCTCCATCTGTTGCCCAGGTTGGAGTGCAGTGGCACGATCTCAGCTCACAGCAACCTCCACCTACTGGGTTCAAGCGATTCTCCTGCCTCAGCCTCTGGAGTAGCTGGGATTATAGGTGTCCGCCACCACGCCCAGCTAATTTTTGTATTTTTAGTAGAGATGGGGGTTTCACCTTATTGGCCAGGCTGGTCTCAAACTCCCGACCTCAGGTGATCCGCCTGCCTTGGCCTTCCAAAGTGCTGGGATTATAGGTGTGAGCCACCGCGCCCAGCCACAATATTCTTAAATACCATTCACTATTCACTTCATATTCAGATTTCCCCAATTGTCCCCCAAATACCCTTGGTCAAACAAGGATCCAAGTAGAAGTGGGTGCCGTTCTTCCAGGGCCCTGTTCTTTGCTGGGTGACAATTAGGTTTCTTCCTCTGTGGGCAACACTGGGCTCTCTTTCCATGGACCCAGCCTGTCTGCTGGCATGTGCCCCTGGAGTGGAGTCTCAGGTAGAATTGGGAGCCAGAGAAATATGGATGTGTGCAAGGCTGGGGCTGGGCAGAGGCAGAGCCCAGCCTGGCCTTGGTCTCAGCAGCCATCTTCCCTTGCAGCCATGACTTCATTGGGGAGTTCACCACCAGTTACCGGGAGCTGGCCCGTGGGCAGAGCCAATTCAACATCTATGAGGTGAGGTGGGCACCCGAAATCTGGGGTTTGCACTGCTAAGTGGCCCAGTCACTGAGGACTATAGTGAGCCATGCACTGGGCTGGGGGCTTTGTGCTTCCCTGAGAGATAGGCGTTATTGTCCCATTCTACCGTTCAGGAGACCAAGTCTTGGAGAAGTGTGAGAACTTGCCCAAAGTTCCACCGTTCAGTAAGTGACAAAATCAAGACACAAACAACCCAGACTTGGCTGGTTTCCAAATCACTGAGTTATAGTGCCCCCATAAAGAGCGCTTCCCACAAGCGAGAGAGATAGGAGCATGGGGGACCAGTGTACGAAGGTTCTGGGCTTGAGACCTGAGGTCCTGAGTTCAAGGTGGCCTTGTGCTTTCAATCAGAACAGTTTCAGGGCCTGCTGAGTATCTTACCCGTTTCAGTATGAAAGCTTCAAGAGAATGAGGTCAGGATACCTTCTTTGTTCTAGCCCCAGAGCTGGAGCGCCTCGGACAAGGCAGCTGATCTCTCTGGAGGTGTAACAGTAGCATTTGCCCCCAAGGGACAATATCTGCGTGTGTGTGTGCGTGTGCGCGTGTGTGTTGTGTTCTCCCTCTTTTTTTTTTTTTTTTGGAGACAGAGGTCTCACTCTGTTGCCCTGGCTCACTGCAGCCCCCACTCCAGGCTCTAAGGGATCCTCCCACCTCAGCCTCCCGAGTAGCTGGGACCACAAGCATGCACCACCACGCCGACTAATTTTTTAAATTTCTTGTAGAGACAGGATCTCACTATGGTTGCCAGGCTGGTCTTGAGCTCCTGGGTCAAGTGATCTTCCTGCCTGTGGCCTCCCAAGTGCTGGATTACGCCTGAGCCACCACGTTCCACCGTGTGCTCTCCCTCTTGCAATTCCATCCCACCTTCCAAATCTAGCTCAGTCCTGCTCTTCTGAGAAGGTCTTCCCAGCCACTCTTGTCTCCATGCTTTTTTTCTTGTCTGAGCTTCCACCAGACGTCATGGTTCATGCCAAACCACTTAATGGCAGATACTTATAAACCAAATAACTGCTTGATTCATATCCTGACTCTACCACTTACTAGCTATGTGACCTTGGCTAAGTCCCTGAACCACTCTGTGCCATGCAAACTGAGAATTAAACAAGTTAATGGAACAATGCCTGACGCAGAGGTCAGCACTGTCTTCTGTCATCATCTGCTGAGCACTGTGTGCCAGAGACTCACATTTTACAACTATCTACATCCTGGCACTGTCCTCACGCTAGCAGCCACTCAGCCAGCGAAGTTGAAGAGCTGGCTTGAGTTCTATCACTGAATCCAAATCCCATGGCTACCCCATCTTTGCCCTGTATGTGGTTCTGAGTGGGCAGGTCTTGTGTGTCCAAGTAGATTTCCAAGGCGTGGTGAGGTGACAGACCTTTCTGTTGCCTCCCTCACTGGCCAGGGCACTGCCGGGCACACGGTAGGTGCCCGTTATACATTCACATGCTGAAGGAGATTGAACATGGCTATTGTAAAGATGGAGTGTGGATGAATTTCTTTGAAAGGGCTCAATACAGTACATTGCTTTGTTTTCTGCATCTGCAAAGAGAGAAGCTGTCTTGTCCCTGCTCTCCCGCCCACCCCAGGCAAAGAGAAGCAGACGCCACCGTTCTCTGCCTCCTTTGAGGAGATTTTA